CTTTTAGTCTATCGGGCCCCACGCGCGCGCTGTATCCTCTATATCATCCTCCTCCTTTTTGACGTTGGGAAGACTCAAACCCTCGGGATTGTAGTGTGTGTCCTCCTCCTCCTCCTCCTCCTCCTCCTGCCTCCTCCTCCTTCCTCCTTGTTCTCCTCCTCCTCCTTGTTCTCCTCCTCCTCCTCCTCCTCCTCCTCCTCCTCCTCCTCCTCCTCCTCTTGTATCCTCCTCTTTATCCTTCTCCCCCTCCTTCTGCTCCCTCCTCCTCCTCGTTCTCCTCCTCCTCGTCCTGATCCTCCTCCTCGGCCAGGACCTGCCGACTCGCCCGGACCAGCCCGCCGTCGCTCTCGTGAATGGCCCTCAGGGCCGTCTGCTCGTAGGGGATGCTGTCCTGGCAGCAGGCGCGGGAAGTTATTCCTCACTTAAGGGTCCCCAGATCCAAGAACATCTGAAAACAGAGGGTGCCTCAAACTCCTGGATAGAAGAGCATGAGCCTGGCGCGACCCCTATCAATAGATTCGCCTCGATGAACGGAAAAGCCAACGGCAAGCTAGTAGTAGACTGCAGAGAAGCTGAAGCTCGGTGGGGGCGAGCACACACCAATTCAAGGTCAAAAAGAACACGATTTCACATGTTACGGCGTTCATCTGATGTGAGTTGGATTTAATGTGTGGGCTGTGCGGTGCGGTGCGATGCAATGCTTGGGAATGGATTTACCGCGCCCTGCCTGCTCTGCTTTGAGCTGGCCTGCTTTACTTTGATCGTCATTACATTGAATTGCATTTCCTCGCAGTAAAATACACAGATTTGCTTCGCGTTGCATTCACATGATCTGCGTTGGGTCCGAGGCTTTCGAACTCGAAATGGAGGAGGTCGTCAAGGAGTAGGTGGAGGAGGACGGCTTTGTCGATCACGGCGTGGAAGAGGTCGAGGTGGCGGAAGACGACGACGACGAGGTCAGCGTGCCGGGTTCCTGCAACCCTGCTGGGTCTGCGGCGGATGGCAACGGCGCTCCCGACTCAGGCGCTATGCGATCCGAATTGGACCACCAATTGGAAGAGACTCGGGAACCTCGCTCCCGGCGAATCTGTCTATGAGGAGGTGCGGCTGGCGGCCGAGGTCGAGGCAGGCGAAGAGAAGGTCGAGTACTGCGTTCCCGCAGGGGTGCGACCTGTGACGCTCTTGGGCCCGAGGATAATGAGGTTGCTCGCCCACCCCCGTCCCTACCTGGGGTGCCTCCCAACCTCGTCGCCGCACTGCGGGCCCGCTTCGGAGAGCGCCTGTCTCCTGGGGTAGCGCCAGCACGCCTGGCCCGGGGCGACGGGCCATGGCATTTGCGCAAGGCCCAGGGGAGACCCGATCGACGAGCCTGACAGCATTCCCGCGTTCCCAGGTGCCGCGAGGCCCAGCCTCGCTCTGCCGCCACGTCTGATGGAATCAAGCGTGGCAATCCCAGGTCATGTTGGCGAACCGCAGATGCTGGCGTGCGTTGATCCAGCTGTTTGTGCGGCTGTTCGTCGCGCCCCTGGCGCCCACCAGGAAGAGAGCCAGGGCGACCCCAGACAAGTCCATCAGGTGGAGGAAGGTGCCTGTGTGGGGCAAGCCCAGCAGGACGGAGCAACAGACCCTGCTAGTCCTGGCTCCGACTCCGTTCGTCGTGGAGAGGGCCCTCGTCGCCGCGGCCGGCTTATCGGGGAGTCGGAACACGGGGCGAACCTAGCGCCGCTGCTCGTCCTGGAGAGCCCTCGTCGCCACAGCTGGATTCTCAGGGAACCAGAAGGCAAAATCCTGGCACCGCTGCCCGTCCTGCCGAACCCTCGTCGCCACGGCTGGCCTCTCGGGGCGTCGGCAGGGAAAATCCTGCCACCGCTGCTCGTCCAGGAGGCGCCTTCGCCCCCTCAAGGCCCACGATGTCCAGGTCCACCCTGCCACCGCCACCTCTGGACCCCAGCGTGGCCATCCCAAGTCATGCTGGGGAACCTCAGGTGCCGGCGTGCGTTGATCCACCTGTCTGCGCGGCTGTTAGTCGCGCCGCTGGCGCCCACGTGTAAGGCGGCCCCAGACCAGCCCATCAGGTGAGGAGGGTGCCTGCGGGGGGCAAGCCCAGCGGGACGGACCAACGGACCCTGCTAGTCCTGGCTCCGACTCTGCTCGTCCTGGAAAGCCCCCCGTCGCCACGGCCAGCTTCTCGGGGAGTCGGGGAATCGGGGGGTCAGAGGAGGGGGCGAACCTGGTGCCGCTGCTGGTCCTGGACAAACCTCGTCGCCACGGCCAGTGGAGATCCTGCTACCGCTGCTCGCCTTTGAAAACCCTCGTTGCCACGGCCAGAAATCAAAACCCAGCTGCCAGGTCGCGCTGCAGACCCTAGCGGACCCCAGCTGACCCCGCTGGCTGCCTTTGCAACTGCAGCGGCCGGGAGCCACCCAATCCCTGACCGCTGGCTGCCTTTGCAACTGCAGCGGCCGGGAGCCACCCAATCCCTGACCCAGAGGCGTTCGAG